ATGTTATCAGTTTGATAGATTGTGTGAGAGATCAACAATGGATCAAAACGGTAAAACCCACAATGTGAGTTATAGATAATCACATTGAGAGGATGTTGTGAATGAGTTTATTATCTAGATGGAGTTTATAAATCTTGTTGATTAAGCATATGCATGCAAAGTGATCATTGAAACCTAACTTTGGCAATCTTTCTTTAAATCGTCAAACCCTGATTTTTACCGTTGTTTATAACTTTTTATGCAACATACCGTTTTTAAAACCAAACCCTTTGTTACTATAAAACTACGAATTTAACAACTGTCGTACGGCGGCAAAATCTTATATTCCCTGTGGAGACGATAACAAAAACCCGACACTTTACCACTGTCCTAACAAGGACTCCTTGCGTTGATCTGGCTTCTTGAAGTTCTTGAACTTCCTTTTCTTGTGCTTCTAGAGTCTGTTGGTTCTTCTGGGCAGCAAGGACAGTTCCTCTTCTTATTCAGAATAAGACTCTTCAGAACTTTCTTCTAACACCTGCAATGCTTTAACAGATTTGTTAGATTTTAAGGCAATTGACTTACCTTTCTTTTGAGGCTCATCTTCCTCAAGTTCAATTTCATGGCTCCTCAGTGAGCTGATTAGTTCCTCCAAAGTGATCTTGTTCAGATCCTTAGCTAGCTTCAGAGCAGTGACCATAGGTCTCCATCTGATAGGCAAGCTTTTGATGATCTTCTTCACATGATCAGCAGTTGAGTAGCCTTTGTCCAATACTTTTAGACCAGCTGTGAGGATCTGGAATCTAGAGAACATAGTTTCTATAGATTCAGATTCTTCCATTTTGAACGCTTCATACTTCTGTATTAGCGCCAGAGCGTTGGTCTCTTTAACTTGTAAGTTTCCTTCATGTGTCATCTTCAAAGACTCAAACAAGTCAAATGCAGTTTCTCTGTTTGTGATCTTCTCATACTCAGTATGAGATATTGCATTTAACAAGATTGTTCTAGCTTTGTGATGATTTCTGAAACTCCTTCTTTTGGGCTTCAGTCATGGATTTTCTATCAATTTTCTTTCCATCCCCATCAGTGGGATAAACATACCCATCAATGAGTAAGCCCCATAAATCAGCATCATAACCAAGGAAGAAACTCTCTATTCTGTCCTTCCAATAGTCAAATTTCTCCCCATCAAACATAGGGGGTTTTGTGTTGATTCTATCCCTTTCTTCATATCTGTTGTTGCTATTAGATGTTGAAGTTTCATCCATAATAACAACCAAAAATATATATCAAAGTTTTCTCACTGGATCTTTTCTGTCACGGTGAAGTGGTAGCACACACAGAACCGAAGCTCTGATGCCAACTGAAGGTGAGAAAATACTTAGAAGGGGGGTTGAATAAGTATAGAGAAAATATTATGGCAATAAAAACTCAAAGATTTTTATCCTGTTTCGTTGAACTCAACTACTCCAATCCACCCTATCAAGAGTGATTTGCCTTTCTCCACAAGGACTTAATCCACTATTAATCAAACTAATTACAATAGCCAGTACTAAGAGCAATTGTTCTTAGTCTTCTCAAGAACAACTGACCACAACTGGGTCTTCTCAAGGACTTTTACAATCAAATGTAAAACTATAAAAAGTGTTTAAATGCTTCTAAGAAAGCTATATCACAACTGTGATTTTACACTTAAGTTTAAGAACTATGAAATAAATTCAGCAATGAGAATAAATTGTATGAGAGCTTTTCTTTGAATTTCTTTCAATTATCGTCAACTGAAGAAGAGTGTTGGAGTCTTGCTTTTATAGGCACAGAAGTCCATGTTGTTTTCACGTTGAAGGCTGTGTACTGAAAAGGGCTGTAGCCTTTTTGTCTTCACATCACTTGACCTTTCCTAGAATTAGAATGCACAGAGAAATCCTTTTTGTCTGTGTTCTTGTGTCTAGCATAAATGAGGAAAGAGTCGTTTGGCCAAACCAACGGACATAACTTTGAATTCTTCTTCAACAAGTTTCTAATACTCAGCAAATAACATCAGAGCCTTGAGTGATCAGAGTCTTTGATGTTCATCAGAGTTTGCTGAATCAGAGCATTGCAGCAAGTGTGCTTTCAGCGTGTAATAATTCAGAGCAGAGTTTGGGATCAAATCCTCAGTACTTGCAGCATACAGTACTATCAGAGTCTTTTGAAAAACTGTGCTTAAAACTCTTCATACAAAAGTCTTCAATGCTTCAGATGCTTATGTAGCTTCTGCTTCAGATCCTTCTGTAGCTTCTGCTTCAGATCCTTCTGTAGACAACACTCAGAATCTTCTGTAGGCAGCGTTCAGATTCTTCTAAGAGATGCTTCTGACGCTTCAGAGCCTTGCATAGTTCCATGTTCAGATCTAATTTGCTTTCAGAATAATATTCACTTTAATATCTGCAGCAAAGATACTTAAACAAATTTTAGAGTATATAATTTCTTAATACAAAATTTCATAAGAGTTATCATCAAAACATAGAGATATAATTAAGAACCAATCTGTGTTCTAACAATGATAAATTACTTAAAACCATAATAAAATAACCTTAAACACTTAAAAGATAAGTGATGAATTCAACTATTTAGGCACTAAATAACTCCCATAAAATGAGTTATTACTATCCTTTTCATCCAATGATGTTTCTAAGGAATATGACTCTGGTTATCGTGTGATTTTCTAATGGACGTCCCTTGCTTCTTAACAGGGGGTGAGTTAAGCCTTTATACCCTCTGTGATGATGCATATGGTGTTTTTGGGATTTAGAAAAGGGTATAGGTTTATGTGGACCATGTATGTGGCTTCTAAATCTAGGGGACTGGAACACCTGAATTTGCTTGTCGATATTCATGGGAAAGGAAATCATTTTCCTTGTTTAGTTCTTTTATGCCCTCATCTACTCTTTAGGGTTTCACATGTGTTTCTTTAGAGGGGTTTCAAGCTATATCGACCCAAACCAATAGCTCTCTTTTATTAATGACATCCAACTACCTTTGGATGGAGATTAAGAGATTCTTGAGTAAGTTGCTGATTTATTGGTTTTCCATTGCGATCCCGGGGACCTCCGCGTTATAGAGGTGAACCTTTGGTCACTAAGGAGGTATATGCACTCACTAATATTAATATGAAGCAGTCAATGTGTCTTGGGGTTCTTGTGTCATCCTCACGACCACAATGGCAATAACGGGGGAATGTAAGATGCTTCTTGCATTCTTCGTAGTTGTTTGCTTGATTTGAAGATCCATTGTCAAATCTATAATGAATGGAAACATTTCCCTCATACGACATCAAATTATTTGGTAGGAATCTTTCTTCAAGTATTATTGATAGTGACAATGAACTTCAGTACAATGATATTTATAATACCTTCAACGGAAGAGGTTTATCTACAAGCACTCTAACAATCAAGTTAATAACACTCGTAACTTTGAGGTTTAGGCTTGTAGATTAGTGTGTACTTGAGTTTAGTTTTCAATGTCTGCTTTATAGTGGGGTTCTAGGGTTGAGAGGCCCTGTAACCTTCTTTTAGGAAAAGTTGTCTTGGGGATAAATGTCAAAAGATCAAGTAGATTATCATCTAATAAACTATAAAGATCAGTCAAATCTAATTAGGTGTACTCCTAGGGCATAATCGTCTCAAGGTTTTAAAGTAATAGAATATTCTTCGATGGACAACTGCTTCAGAGTGAAGATGTCAGTGGATCTTCTTGCCATTTTTATCAGACGATCATTAGTTGTTTCATTGGCCTCAATCAACTATAATACTAAAAAATGACCACTTTATGATCTCAAGTTTCTAGATCATTCTTTAGGTATATCAACTTATGTTAAAAGATAGTTTTTAAGATTCGAAGATCACGGAAGTGTCTAGTCAGAAAAATGATTAAAGGTTGGACTTTGTCAAAAATCACAAAATTCTCTATTTTATAAGATAATTTTTTTTAATGTTTCTCTATCTTTACTATAAAACTTTTACCAAAACTTCATGAGTATAATTATTTATTTACAAAAATATTTCTATTTAATTTACCATTAAAAATCATAAATGTATTTCCTATCTCTTATAGTATTAATAATTATACAAATAAACATGTAAAACAAACACATTTCAAATAAATTTATTACTACAAAACCTTCTGAATTTTTGTCAAAGAAATTCATTAACAAGGGATGGAGTGAGTACAAACATAAGCCACATTTTCCATATCAACTCCAACAAATATATTGTTGATCCAAACAAGTTACCCTTTACCCTCTACGGTTTCACCCGACCAACACTTAAAACATCACGTCAAGTCACCATTAATTATTGCTTGCTTTCACTTTCGGCAATATATTTATTGTTCAACAAAGAAATTTTCAAAATCCACTTGTACGTTTCAATACTTCCATCAAATAAATTTTTTCAAGTACATACAATATGCCTATTTGTAAACCAAAGGTCAAGTTTCTTACCTAACTACAATCTTCTAATTACTCCACTTAATCTTCCTAAATCTTACAAGTTTATGTATTGTTGATAATTTGTCACCATTGTTTTCCATGGTATTAAACAATTCTTCCTCAAACAACTTTATATTATAGGTAGATGAATAGATGCTTAATAGCTTTGTTTTTTTTCCTCTAAAAACTCGACTCTTGTTACTTGTATTCTAAGGCTTCTAATTTTTTATTTTAAACAAACATCTTGTTGCAAATGGAACAATTGTCAAACTCCTCTTAAAAAAGAGAAAAAAACACACATCATGGATTAATCAATAGTAGTAGAATACATAAAAGTCAAGGTGAAACATTAGTTACACAACTAGAAACACCATACAATTAATACTCCTTCCAATCATTATTATAAAGAAAAGTTTTACATTTTAAATACATTCAATAATTAATATATCTAGATTCAGATCTATTGATTATTGAACATATCTAAAAGTAAATTTTTTCTTATAATAAATCCCTAAGGGATTAATAATTAATAGGAAACTTAAACACATTGAAATTATGGAGATGGAGGCCAATACATTGCAGCATCTTCTATCCCTTCATAAAATCCAAACTCAAGTTCATCTTCAATTCTCTCTTCATAACCATCACTATCATAATCAACATAGTATTCATTACCATCTGCAAAATCCCAAGCAAACTCATCTGAAACATCTGAGTAATCATCATCCCAACCATCACTCTCATAAGCACCAAGAACATAAGGCCCCAAAACTCTAAGTTTCGGAAAACCCTTCACGTTATTGTCTAGGTTAACACTCCAACACCCACGCAGATCCAAAAACTCAAGCTTAGGACAGTTTGAAAATATCCGAACAACCCCGGAAGTGCTTATCCTTTGATAAGCCATTTCGAGATGCTTGAGCTTAGGCATTGTGGCTGCAATCGCGTACGCCTCGTCATCTTGTAATGGCTTGTCTGCGGTATCCAACGGATGCATGTTCCTGCATAACCCTTCTAGCATTTTGCAGTTCATGCCAATCATTTCAATAGCAGAAGCACTGATTTTGATACAATAGCTCACATCCAAGAATGTTATCATGGAAAATTTTCCAGCAATTTGTTCCACAACCAAATCACTCATATTGCTCCTTGGCAATCTTAAACTCCTAAGCGAACCAGCACTTGCAAAAGAGTAAAATGTAGTATAAGAAACTAAGATCTATTCTAACACAAAAAAGCATAATTAACAAAGACTATCAAGTTAATTGAGCTTACTTTTCAGCAATGAAAGTGAAAATGGTCTCAGATTGAAGACCAGAAACACACAGCTTTCTGAGAGATCCACAACTTTTACTGATAAGCATATGAAGCATTTGGTCAAGTTTGTCAGATTGACAGTGATTACTCCATTCCTCAATGTCAATCTCTTGCCAACAATAAGGTCCAGAAACCGCTCTAGCCCATGATTTGCATACCCTAGGAATCACTGTCACTCTCTCTTGAAGAGAAAGATTTGTGAAGATTACCCCTAATGCATCAGGAATCAATTCATCCCAGCTTCGAAATTCACTTGCTTCCCCCATCAAATCCAATCTATGATTAACCAAAAAGAATCAATTTTTATCACTTTTATATAAACTTGACAACAATTCAAACATAATTAAGATCCATAATAAATGACAGTAAAAAAAATGAAACAAACTCATCAAGCTTGAAAACTAGAAGATAATTAAACTTGGAAATTATAAAAATCTCAACTTTAAGGGTAAAAACAGAAAACCCAGAAAGATTATCGTTTTTTATTTTGTTGAGGATGGTGAAAAATGAAAGAAAAAACAGTAGTTTAGTTTGAGTTAGAACAAAAAGGTGTGAGATTTACTAACCAGAGAGTGTTTCTTGGTTGAGGAAGTGAATTATGGAAGGAGGAAAGAGATAAGAAGAAGAGAGAATGTATGTATGTATGTATCTATTCATCCACCTAACACTCTGATTGAATGCAACTACCAGAGCAGGTTTAGGAACAAGAACAAGAGTAAAGACAAGGTAGCATAGCAAAGGTAGTACGTGTGAGGGTACACGGTCAGATTGTATTTGTATAATTGTTGTATAGTACACTAGTTGTATGTATAGGTGAAAAATAATGATAAAGTATTGGTGTCTTACTGCAAGACTCAAACTGTCGATAACTTGAAAATTGTCTTGCCCAAAACCATCAATCACGGGTCCTTTTTAGAGTCTAAAGTTGAAAGGTTATTATCATCCATTAAAAAGGACACTATATTGTTATCTTCTTGTTTTAGAAGGATAAATTAGTAAATGATTTTTGTCTCTCAATTATTAAATTTTCTAAATAGTGTTTAGTAAGGAGATGAGTCTTTTTTAATATTAAATTAAAAATTGCATAAGTAAAATATAAATGATAAATTGAAAAGTAAAAAAAAAAAAGATTGGTTCGTTTATCGCGTGTGTCAATTTTTAAATGAAATATATAAAATATTTAAGGATAAAATTAGTTTGTGGTTGTGAATTTCGTTTGATTATTTTTGCAAGTGATGTGTGTTTATATTTAATTATGGATGTATGTCGTGCTCCATGTTTGTGTTAAATCTTCTCATTTTAGGCTTTGTTTGGATGCGAAGAGAAAAAAGAAGGAAAGAAAGTAAGGAAAAAGAATGTTGAAAGAGTGAAAGTGAGTGCAAAGTATGATAAATTTAAGTTATTTGGTGTCTTACCCTAATTTTGTCGTACCACTTTTTCTATTTATTTTGAATTCATAAATTACATTTAAGTGGATTCATCAAAGAGTAAGTAAAAGTCAATGAGGAGAATTGGTGCATCTTGAGTGCCAATTTTTCAATTTGGTCATTTCCATCTCATATCTTATTTTGCATTTATTAGTAGAGTTTTAAAGTCATGTCTATTTGCTTCAATATTTAATATCGTTTTTGCATGTCTGTCGCTACCGCGAAAATAAGGTGGCGGCAAAACAGAAGAGTCGCCACCTTTCGTTATTTATCCCTCGGAACGGGAAAGGAAACGATCGAAAAAACCTGACGAAAAGGTATAAGACAAGGTCATCGCAACCATTGTCTGGGTTCGGGAGTCGGTTACGCAAGGGGAAGGTATTAGCACCCCTCACGTCCATCGTACTCGATGGGATCCACGCTTGTTGTGTTTATCTGACGGGTTGGTTTACTATCTACCTATCAAGGCCGGTATAAAAAGAAAAGAAAATGACTCGGCAAAGCGTCGCACTTTATGCCTACGTATTCTCATCAGAGAATGAGAAATCAGAGTCAACGTAGTTCGACTAACTACGGGTTACGGGGAAGGTGGCTCGCCAATACATCAGTATTGTGCCTACGTACTCTCAACAGGTATGAGAGATCAGAGCTTACGTAGTTCGAGATAATACAGATTACGGGAATTTAGATTCATCTATTTTTCGAGTAGGGTTAACAAACAGTTCCAGCAGTTTGGTGTACGCAGCTCGACCCTTGGAGACTTAGGCGTTACCGTTTGCGGTAGAACTGGGAGTTAACGACACTCTTTTCTTCAGAAAAGCTTCCTTTGACTTACGGGCCCACGGGGCAAAAAGGTTTGAAGTTTGTTTTCTGTCTTTTACGGAAGAACTGTTTTTTATGATTGTCTGTAGTTCGTACAGCACTAGAGACTATGACCTGGGAACGAATGTGTCGCATATCGTCCAAAAGACGTATACTAAACATTCTAGACGATTGAGAGGAGGCCGCTTAATCATCATTTCCCAAGTAGCTTAAGGCTCGTATCGCGCTTATACTAACTTGCCTTTATTACGTTTTTTACTGTTGTTTTGAGATGAGAAGAGAAAGGGACAACTACGGGGAGACTATCAAGTTCTACTGTTGTCATGCCAAGGATTCATCCTATAGTTGAAGTTTGAAACAGGGAACTCTTAGAAGTTATCATGCATAGGTTTCAACCTAAAGTTCTAATCATCACTTCCTTATCAAAGGAAGTGAGATTCCTAGGGGATCATGTCAATGATAAACAGAAACAGATAAAGCATCAGCTTAAACAGTAAACAGTAAACGACTGTAAAATGCATGCAATGCAAGTGAGGGAGGAAAGGTGTGTGGGGCATCAGCCTCCACAAGCTCATCTCAACCTCAAGCCAGATATGAATAACTGCAATCATACAGAAGAAATAAAAGGCCATCAAGCAAATCACAAACCACATGGGCAAGGGAGCAGGGCTCTACCGAATACCCGCAAGTAAAGCCATACAGTAAAAATACAAGCAGAGGGAGCAACTCAACCTCTAGTGCAATCATGCTCCTAGCTTAAAAGAATCTAAACATGAACTTATTCTAATGCATCAAGCAAATCAAACAAGTCACATCAATACAGTTGCACAGAAAGAAAACAGACAAGAAAGAAAGCAAATCAACAGCTTCCACAGCTTCACAGCAAAGCAATCCTCTAACAGCAGTTCAGTCCTCAGTCTGAAACTGTTCTTCAAGTCTATCCTCTTCAGGGGAATGAAAGGTACTCCATCTTCAAGCTTCAATCTTCAATAGCAAGTATCAACTTGCTTCTTCAGGCTTTCAATGCACCAATCACAAGTATCAACTTGCTCTCCAACTTCAAGCTTCAGCTCTTTCTTCAATCTCAATTTGATCTTCTTCACAAGTGTCAACTTGTTCCTCTTGATCTTCAAGCCTCAGCCTCAAAGGCAGTATTCAGTCTTCTATAGAAAGGAACTCCATCCTCTAGCAAGGGAGAAAGATTCATCTAACAAGAGCAAGGTGTGGATAATGGTGAGCAAAGTGAAGACCAAAGGTCACCTCTAAGCACTCCACCATCAAGGAAAGGAACCCTCAAAGGTTCTACCAATTTGTGAGGAGCCACTCATCCTACCAAAGGAGGGATGGGGCCTTCACAATGGGACCTTTCATCATAGGGAGGAATGGAAGTGATCAACACCTTCCATGTTTCATGAAGGAAGAAAATCTATTCTAAGGGATCTCCCTAAATCCCTAATCCTTAACCCTAAACAAACTACACCAAAGGGAGAGCAAACTTCAAGTCCAAGCTCCATCATGCATTCCACAGCAGCCCACTCATGCCTTCATCATCATCCAAGAGCAATAGAAGCAAAGCCCTAGTCTAAGGGAACTAATGAAGTCATTCTAGTTGAGTTAGCAAGTTAGGATCATCTAAAACCTAGTACTAAAGTTAATTCCAACTAAAATACTAAAACCAATTGTAAAATCCTACAAAAATAACTATGGGAACCTAAGTCAATCATGACTCTACCATGTTAATTCCAGAGATCAAATTATCCAATAAGTGCTAGAATTAAATCCTAAACTATGGGGCACTAAGGTTAAACCCTAAAACTAGAGCACCTAAAGTTCCAATACAAAAACAGCCCTAAAATTCTTCACAAAAATGTGAGAAAATTACTAGAGGAACATACATGTCTAAAATAATCACACACAAAAAATCAGCTCAAAAATCATCATTAAATGATCACACAAAAATTTACAAGTCAAGGTATCAACCATTATGGAATTAATATCAATTAAAATACAAAAAATTAAATTAAAATAAAAAATGCATGAATTCCTAAACTCTCAATTTCCTAAAATTCTAGACTCATTCATGAGTGAGGGGAAAAAAAGGCTGGATCAAATTGAGTTATTTTCCTATTTATTATGAATTATTTCCTAAACTATATGCAATGTGTAAAATAAAATAAAATACAAGAAAATAATAAAACCTGCGTATCAAATAGCAATTATTTTCAATTCATTTTCCAGACTGGGCCAATTGGGGGGGTGTGGTTATCAAACCGTGCACTAAGCCCAAACCATTTCTATTAATGAAACGCAGCGTAGCATCTCAAACTCCAATCTTCAGATTCTTAAGACAAATCGTGGCCATCCAAACACAGCCCGAGTCAAAGGTCAAAATGCTATCCAACGGCCAAAGCGTTATCGTCCCCAAATTTAAATCAGATGGAGGGAATTCTCCAGACGGTGGCCTGAGCTGCAGCGCCACCGTCTTCTCCGGTGAAGTGCTCATCACAGGTCATCAAAAACACTGAAACAAATCATCATCTCACTCGGTTTTCTCTCCTGAACACGAATCCATCATCCAAATTCACTAATTCTTTCTCTAACTTAAAACCCGATCACATTTTCAGAAACACACCAATTCTTGATCATCACAATTCTCAAAAATAATGATCCTAATGCAATCTACACTTCTCACTGATCAATTTCCACTATCCAAACATGATTATTCCTTCAAGAATCTTGAGATATCAGCCTTAACAGAAAATGATCCATGACCTAAAGTGTCCCTATTCCTCAATTTCTTGTACCAAAATCCACCTATGTCATACCAAGAACCTAACCACATGCAAGTTTATATGTATCTCCCTATAGATTAAGCAGAATTTTGATTTGTACAAACCTGGTTTCAGATGAAGAACAGGTACAATCCTTGCTCGATTCTTCCTCCAATATGATCCAGATTCACTCCAAATCTTCCTCTGAAGCTAATGCACACCTCAATTTGCTCTGATTTCAACTCA